TTTAAATAAAAAAATAAATAAATAAAGGCGATACTCAACAAAAACAGAAAAGAAACAAAACAAATCAACTTAATGAAGCAAAAAATAATAATTTTAATTTAACAAATATTAATTTACAACGTAATTTTCATCTATCTTCGGCTCTACCAAACTTTTCCATGTCCGAGTCCATATCCCAGCCCGAGTCCGTATCCACCATATCTCAGGCCGAGTCCGTAACCACCGTAACCCAGACCAAGTCCGTATCCGTAACCACCGTATCCGTAACCAGGGTGACGGATAGATGAGCTGTAGGCTACGGCACGTCCTACTGGGTATCCGTAGCCGTAACCACCGTATCCGTAGGGTGCTCCGTAACCGTAACCGGCGTAACCCAGATAACCAGCAAGAGAGGTGGCCACAAGGGCAAACAGGATAGCTGCGATCTGTAATCAAAAATTCCACGTTAGACCTCTATAATAAAGTATACAGTGAGGTATACATTGTATTAAGTATACAGTAAGATTGTACTCACCATAGACTTCATGTTGATGGTTACTGTGTTGTGTTGGTGTGATTCTGAATAATCGGGATCGGCACAACTCCTTTTATACTAAAATTCGAAGGTATTTTACTGGCATTAATTTAAAATATAACGAGTTTTACGAGGGAAGAGTAATAAAAAGTGTCAAGGTTCCGTTCGAGTTGAAACGAAAATTGTTTTATCTATGGATATGTCATGTAACTCTATCTGTAGTGTTCAGGTGTACATGACCTTTTATTTTTGTGACGTATCACGTTGTCAATGAACGACTGGTTTGTGTCGTTTATTTATAACAAAGTTTCTAAAATTAATGAAAGTCGATTTGCAATTATTTCGTTTGGAATTGAATTTAATGGATTCATACGAGTAGAGTAAGAGTATTTATTTCTAATAGATTGACGCCATTCGATTGTTTTACAACACATTTCTAATTAATTTAAAGGAAAATTTGATAGAAAAATGATTTCTTTGTCGTACAATTTTACATTTTATTGAACGCAGGATAATGTTCATTTAAAGAGAAAATTCCAACAGAAATTATAATAATTTTGATTAAAAAGACTCACGCTTATTAATTTTTTAGAACGTGAAAGAATTCGATTTTGATAAAGTTATTAGTTTACGTAATTTTATTTTAATAATTTGCATATAAACGAAACATTTGAAAGAAATCAATTTGGCAAACAATTATTTTAACATTCTGAAAGAGAGGTGAAATGTAGTTAGTCTATTCACAAATATAAGACACTACTTTTGTTAGAAAACTGAAAAAGGTATTTAAATATCAATTATAAAAATAATATTTTGCAGTTGTTATCCACAGAAAACTTTTATAACAACAAAGACCAAGTTTTAGTGTCCTTACATGGAAAGTAAATATCCTTACTTTCAAAGGTAAATGTTTCTCAAACGATACAATACTTTCGGTACAACAATATTAATTAGTTTTAGCAGTTTATCAAGTTTTTGACCAGTGTTTCGAAATATCTTAAGGTCACAGGATTGTATGCATTAACAACTCTTAAATAGGTATTTATAACAGAGGAAAATAATAGAAAAAAAAAATAATATTCTTTGTTAATTTATCTGAAAAGCGATAATAAACAGATGTTAAAAATATTCATTTTTATATTATATCATTTTATCAGGTCATTCTACAAGCTACAAAAGGTTACACCTGGCCTGAAGGTCGAAGTTTCTCCATTTATGGATTAGGAGTAACCTCGAGACATCGTTGGAAGTCGATATAAGAAAAAAAAAATTCTATTCTCGAAGCTTACTCACATATCATTAATATTGATAACAGGAGTTTCCGGTCATTCCTACTTAAGAAACAGGAGGGTGGAGCCCTTCTAGGGTTAAAATAGATTTTTTTTAATAGTAATAACGCCATTTATTCGCCTAGTGTTATAACCGTGGAAAATTTCTACTTAAAATTAAATGTTTTGCTTATTTTTTCTATATGAAATATATTATTTTTTATAATACAGTAGAACCTCGATTATCCGGACCTCTATTATCCTTGTTTTCGATTATCCGGATTGTTCAAAATAAACAAAAATTTTACGAATTTGCTGATTTGCACTTGGCGAATTACGACACTGTTTATGTGTACGTGATGGAATGCATAACTTTTTTTGTTTCAACAGCGTCTCACCCGGCACAGTGGTCGTAAACTCTTAAATATATTTTACGTAGTAATAAAAATATAACTTGACATACGTATTTTTAAATAATTTATATTCAAATTACATTATTTCTATGACCAAGGGCGGCGTAAGGCATGGACGACGTGGGCCACCGCCTATGCCTCGTGGTCCGAAGGGCCTCGCGCCTCGAAGGTTTATGCATTATGTACTTAAAAGCCACGAATACGACGAAAAAATTTTACTCGTCATAAAACGATAAATAGCTTGTCAAATTTTTATTCATAAAAATGCAGTTTCAACTGCTTTTTATTTTATAAAATCCGTCTTCTTGCGCCACCAGAGGGCCTTTTAAACAATAGGTAGTCTGTTAGCGTTGGTCAGTAGTAGTCCAAATTCAATACGAACGTTTGTTTCTTAAATGTTTGATTACGATTTAAATACAGTATTTACTTTTAATATTACCGATATGTCATCGAAAAGAAAACGTGTTGTATTATCATTAAAAGACAAATTAAAGTATTTGTTTCGATTATCCGAATTTTCCCATGTCCGGACTACCTTATTCTTCAATTAGTCCGGATAATCGAGATTCTACTGTATTATTTTTTTCTCTCTATTTTATCCTTCATCCACGTTTTCTTCTTCTTCCCTCTGCTTCCTAATCAGTGATCAAGTTCGGTATTTGATATTAATATATATATGGACCTATATATAGGCCTATATATAAGTGATTAATTATAAAATTAATATTAAATCCACGTTTTAAAAGTTAATTTATTTACTTATTACGGATTCAAAATTGTAACTGTGAGTCATATAACCTTGAATTATTAACTACTGTATATTAATTATAATCAATTAGAGCTTTAAAATAACGGTATTTTATGTATAACTTTAATAATATCCGTGTTTTTGAATACATTTTATAGTGTAAAGTTAAAAATCCGACTTCCCGATAAAAGACATCTTCGTGGGTCATATTTTGACCAATAGCCGTACTTTTCCTCTGTTACATATAACAGTCGAAGAAGTAAAATGCTTTTAAAATTTTTTTATAATATTTATAATATATAATAATGTATGGCATTAAAGTACAGTTCATATGTAACATTTTTAAGTATATGTTTAATGTATTTAAATTAAGAGTTTATGGTAAATTACAATGTAGAGAAGCCATCCACAGCTACGATTCGAACCGTATCCTGGAGATTTAATTCCATTAAAGATAGAGATTTTAAAGGAATTCAATTTCAGGATATTCCTGTATATTTTCCTATAAAGATAAGGTTTAGATCCTGTCTAAACCTAAAAAAATACTTCAATTTGGATTCGAAGTTTTGTCATGAATGAAGTTTAATTAAATCAAATTATTAATTAATACAAAAATTTATTTAATTAATATAAATTATTATACAAAATTATATAGTTGAACCGCTAAGAACTTTGTTTTTAACAAAAATGCATGCAAAATAGGCTTAATCTTCAAACAACGAACATCACTTAACAAATGCTCTTGTTTATGTTCTTATCTGTGGCCGTTATTCACAAGTTTACTGTATTTAGACTAATTCTTATTTGTTTCGCATTATAATTTACTTAATAAAATTTTAAATATTGTCTAAAATTTAATTATCTATGAGTCATGTACAGTACAAGTGATATGAATTCAAAGGTGTATCTTGGATTTTGGCACCCGGGAACCATAGAGAATTTTGTACGTAAATATCCAATTGATAAGTAAACTTATAGGGGAGATCGGGGCAAGATCGGCATGTTAAGCTTTACTTAAATTTTGTGTAATAAATACTGCTGTAAACTGAAAAAAAAGCTTTGCATATTGTCTATTGGAATGTTACCTTACTATAGAACTGGTTAAAATCAGTTTGGAAATAAAAATAATTAAAATAATTACAACTTTACAAGAAGAGAGAAATTGACGAAGTTGCCCCGGGTATAGGGGCAAGATCGGCAACTTCTCTCTTTTTGTAAAGTTGTAATTATTTTAATTATTTTTATTAAAGTTGCCCCTGGTATAGGGGCAACAGTAATGGGGCAAGATAGGCACGTATATAAAATTATGTTATTAACAATGTATAAGTTGGAATTCACTATTAAAACAAAGAAATACAAATCCAACACCCATTTAATATTATTACAACGAAATGCAAGTTCAAAGACATATATACATGAATAACAAATGCAAACATGTTTTCATTTATCATCTGTTTGATTTTTATCCTTTGCTTCTAATGTGGCTTTATGTTGCCGATCTTACCCCGCTAGTCATGATTTCGAAACATTAAGTACAACCCTGAGAACAGAATGCCAAGCCACGATCTGGCCACGTGAATAAGTTGAAGTTACATCCTTCTAACAGGAAAAGTAACTTTCGTTATCATGGAATTATAACAAAACCTGCCAATTCAATATAAATGGAAAAAAAATATTATATGGAATTCAACGAAAATTAAAATTTGCTTGATAATTCAACTACGCTTGTTGGAGAACAACAAAAACACTACACTCAACAAGCCACCAATAAAACTCAACTGCCTAACCTATAACCAAAGTTTCCTTTTAATTTGTTTTTTAAAAAAAGCGCTTGACAAACTTGCCCCGCATGCCGAAGTTGCCCCGATCTCCCCTACAGTTAAAATTATATAAAATATATAATTTATCACTGCATGAAATGCATTAAAACATCGTATATAGGCCTACAATTAACTATGATCTAACGTTCAGCATACATAAATCTGTTCAATCAATACGAACGTACCGAGAACACGGGTAACTCCATTAACATAATTAAAAACGAAAGAACAATTAAATAAAGCAGGAAAAAAACAATTTTAATTTAACAAATATTAATTTACAACGTAATTTTCATCTATCTTCGGCTCTACCAAACTTTTCCATGTCCGAGTCCATATCCCAGCCCGAGTCCGTATCCACCATATCTCAGGCCGAGTCCGTATCCACCGTAACCCAGACCAAGTCCATATCCGTAACCACCGTATCCCAGACCGTATCCGTAACCAGGGTGACGGATAGATGAGCTGTAGGCTACGGCACGTCCTACTGGGTATCCGTAGCCGTAACCGCCGTAACCACCGTATCCGTAGGGTGCTCCGTAACCGTAACCGGCGTAACCCAGATAACCGGCAAGGGAGGTGGCCACAAGGGCAAACAGGATAGCTGCGATCTGTAATTAAAAATTCCACGTTAGACCTCTATAATAAAGTATACAGCGAGGTATACATTGTGTTATGTATACAATAAGACTGTACTCACCATAGACTTCATGTTGATGGTTGCTGTGTTGTGTTGGTTTAATTCTGATTAATCGGGATCGGCACAACTCCTTTTATACTAAAATTCGAAAGTATTTACTTGAAGCAATTAAATATATAACAAGTTTTACGTGGGAAAAAGTAATAAAAAGTGTCAAGGTTCTGTTCGAGTTGAAACGAAAATTGTTTTATCTATGGACATGTCTTGTAACTCTATCTCTACTGTTAAAGGTGTACATGACCCCTATTTTTGTGACGTATCATGTTTTGAATAAACGACTGGTTTGTGTCCTTTTTTATAATAAGATTTTCTAAAATTAAAGAAAGTCGATTTAGAATTATTTCATTTGAAATGAATTTTTAATTAATTTCTTATAGTTGCTGCATTCTAGAGTCACCAATTCGATATTTTCAATAAATTAATTTTAAAATATATTGTGTATTTGTTTCCTAATTGCATACGTGCTGATTATTTTAAGTTATTTTCTGAGCTAAACAATGTTTTCTGCATCATTTACAGTGCCATTATCACTCTACAGATTCCATGAATCATTTACAAATAATTTAATTTAAAATAAATGATAATTATTTCAATCATTTTATAGTTTTATAAACTATAAAATACATTATAAATGTATAAAATTAATTTTTTTTTAATTATAAAGATTGAAATTTAATTAAATAATATTTTACTTGAAAACAAATACTTTATGTATTATGACTTTCACGTGTTAATTTCTTTTAATTAACTGAAAAATATTGTTTAACTACTTATGAAAATTAAAATTAAATTATAATTAATTAATTATATACTTATTTGCAATTAAATTCTAAAATTTATTTAGAAAAAATTAAATAATTTTTCTTATAATTCTACTCAGAAAACAAAAATAAGTACAGTCGAACCTTCAATAAAGGCCATCACCCAATCATTTTTATTATAAAAAGTTAATGCCCAGACGTAAGAGCTAAGATTCTATAGCGTACAGTAGTAAAACGAAATTTTACAGCGCCAAATTTCCCACTTGCGGCTGAATTTTAAAGTTTTTTGGCATTAAAGATGGCAACGCAACATATGAACGCTAAAGGGATGCCTTCCGGAAGGACTTTGTATGGTAAACTGGGCCCTACTTTAGTGTTAAAGACGGAAAAAACACACAAAATTCCACCTGGCCAGCTGTTGGTGAGATGCGAACCCTTGAACAAAAAATCAAAGGTGAAGAGTAATAACTGTTGTTGTAGAAATAACATTAGTGTTTCTCACCAACCGATAAAGTTATTTCTGAGATTATTAAGCAGATATTTTCATAATAAAGTTAGAAAAAAGCCTTTTTTATATATACGCACACCTTCACCTACACTAACATCCATACAGACAGAAACCTCCAATGTTTATATTTCTCGACGTTTCAAGTACCCCTGAGTCAGAAAATGTAAAAATCTGGGGGTGTGGGGGGTCTTTTTTTGACCAATGCCTTACTTTCCCTCTGTTATGTATAACAGTTTGAAATGATACACCTAATTTTTCTGAAAAATTATTTGTTTACATGAGATAATAATTGTATTTAAAATTGTTTAACACAAAGAAATACAATAGTGATGATGAGAGTGATACTAAAGATGATAATTCCTTATAAAGGAAAAATGAACACTTTATTATTATTTTCTATAGAAATTGCGGATAAATCGTGGAATGGCAGCGTTATTATAAAAGACTTCATATTCCTCACTCGTTTAGACTTTCCTAAAATCCTTAACTAATAACGAATTTATAAATTTATTTTAAAACATTATAATATTAATAACAACTTTTAAGTTATTTTGAGTCAACCTTGACATTTTTATCCAAAAAACTTTCCAAATAAACTCGTTATACATTAATCGACTACAACCCAACGACCTTCGACGATCGTATAAAAGTGCCGTTTTCTGTACGTTACGACCAGTATCTGCTGAACACAGAAACCAATAAATCCTAAACAATGAAGGCTATGGTAAGTAACACTTCTCATATATATATATATCTTAATTTAATATATAGATTAATTAATACACGGTATATAATAATGTGACTTTCCTACTTCTAGATCGCTGCTGTCCTCTTCGCCCTCGTGGCTACCTCCCTGGCCGGTTATCTGGGTTACGGAGGTTACGGATACGGTGGTTACGGTGGTTACGGTTACGGTGGTTACGGATACCCAGTAGGACGTGCCGTAGCCTACAGTTCATCCATCCGTCACCCAGGTTACGGATACGGACTCGGATATGGATATGGTGGATATGGTCTCGGATATGGTGGATATGGTCTCGGATACGGCGGATACGGACTCGGATATGGTCTTGGATACCGTGGTTACGGACTCGGTCACGGATACGGTTATGGCAAATACTGGTAAATTCTGCTAAGTATTGTATATAAAGGATGCTGAAAGTACCGTCAGNGCTGATTATTTTAAGTTATTTTCTGAGCTAAACAATGTTTTCTGCATCATTTACAGTGCCATTATCACTCTACAGATTCCATGAATCATTTACAAATAATTTAATTTAAAATAAATGATAATTATTTCAATCATTTTATAGTTTTATAAACTATAAAATACATTATAAATGTATAAAATTAATTTTTTTTTAATTATAAAGATTGAAATTTAATTAAATAATATTTTACTTGAAAACAAATACTTTATGTATTATGACTTTCACGTGTTAATTTCTTTTAATTAACTGAAAAATATTGTTTAACTACTTATGAAAATTAAAATTAAATTATAATTAATTAATTATATACTTATTTGCAATTAAATTCTAAAATTTATTTAGAAAAAATTAAATAATTTTTCTTATAATTCTACTCAGAAAACAAAAATAAGTACAGTCGAACCTTCAATAAAGGCCATCACCCAATCATTTTTATTATAAAAAGTTAATGCCCAGACGTAAGAGCTAAGATTCTATAGCGTACAGTAGTAAAACGAAATTTTACAGCGCCAAATTTCCCACTTGCGGCTGAATTTTAAAGTTTTTTGGCATTAAAGATGGCAACGCAACATATGAACGCTAAAGGGATGCCTTCCGGAAGGACTTTGTATGGTAAACTGGGCCCTACTTTAGTGTTAAAGACGGAAAAAACACACAAAATTCCACCTGGCCAGCTGTTGGTGAGATGCGAACCCTTGAACAAAAAATCAAAGGTGAAGAGTAATAACTGTTGTTGTAGAAATAACATTAGTGTTTCTCACCAACCGATAAAGTTATTTCTGAGATTATTAAGCAGATATTTTCATAATAAAGTTAGAAAAAAGCCTTTTTTATATATACGCACACCTTCACCTACACTAACATCCATACAGACAGAAACCTCCAATGTTTATATTTCTCGACGTTTCAAGTACCCCTGAGTCAGAAAATGTAAAAATCTGGGGGTGTGGGGGGTCTTTTTTGACCAATGCCTTACTTTCCCTCTGTTATGTATAACAGTTTGAAATGATACACCTAATTTTTCTGAAAAATTATTTGTTTACATGAGATAATAATTGTATTTAAAATTGTTTAACACAAAGAAATACAATAGTGATGATGAGAGTGATACTAAAGATGATAATTCCTTATAAAGGAAAAATGAACACTTTATTATTATTTTCTATAGAAATTGCGGATAAATCGTGGAATGGCAGCGTTATTATAAAAGACTTCATATTCCTCACTCGTTTAGACTTTCCTAAAATCCTTAACTAATAACGAATTTATAAATTTATTTTAAAACATTATAATATTAATAACAACTTTTAAGTTATTTTGAGTCAACCTTGACATTTTTATCCAAAAAACTTTCCAAATAAACTCGTTATACATTAATCGACTACAACCCAACGACCTTCGACGATCGTATAAAAGTGCCGTTTTCTGTACGTTACGACCAGTATCTGCTGAACACAGAAACCAATAAATCCTAAACAATGAAGGCTATGGTAAGTAACACTTCTTATATATATATATATATCTTAATATATAGATTAATTAATACACGGTATATAATAATGTGACTTTCCTACTTCTAGATCGCTGCTGTCCTCTTCGCCCTCGTGGCTACCTCCCTGGCCGGTTATCTGGGTTACGGAGGTTACGGATACGGTGGTTACGGTGGTTACGGTTACGGTGGTTACGGATACCCAGTAGGACGTGCCGTAGCCTACAGTTCATCCATCCGTCACCCAGGTTACGGATACGGACTCGGATATGGATATGGTGGATATGGTCTCGGATATGGTGGATATGGTCTCGGATACGGCGGATACGGACTCGGATATGGTCTTGGATACCGTGGTTACGGACTCGGTCACGGATACGGTTATGGCAAATACTGGTAAATTCTGCTAAGTATTGTATATAAAGGATGCTGAAAGTACCGTCGGATACGATGTAAATTTTGTACAAAAATAAATATTTTTCTAGAGATATGTATGTTTTCACTGATTGTTCTACTTATTTATGCACTTTTTTTAATGGGTAATAATTTAAAAAATGGCTTGATTTGGCTGGTTTGATAAATTATGCAACGGAACACATAGCAGGCAACCAATTGCCAAATACGAAAAATTGCAGGCATATCTTCTGTCACATGAAAAGGGTTGCCTGTAATGTGTAGACAGGATGCCCCTTAAAACGTTCTTTAGGGTAGGACTTTTTAAGGAAAGTTTTCCCTATTTAGGTGTTATACACGTGAAGAACATCCATAAAACATCATGTCTTTGGCTCAGGTGCGAACCCGTGGCCGACTACTACCATTGAATAATTTTATTCAACGCTGGTAGTTCACTGAGAAATTAATGCGTTTACTAATAAAATCTGTTTTTGTTTTTCCAATAATGTGTTCAATAAAATATTTACAAAATTTTTTTACGAAAATACAGAAAAATTATGTTTATGCCACTGGTGGTTTTTGATTGCACTAGTATGGACTTCGAAAATTCCCTTTATGACTTACTAGCAGATGAGTCCAGCTTTGTTCGTGCAAAAAGTAACGATAGCGAAGATTAAGATTATTAGATTATAGCCGAAATCACCCGTTTTTACCGGGTACAAGAATTAGGTCCCCCCTCTTCCGAGCCTAATTAGAGAATTTTTAGATGGTCTAGAAATATGCATCTAAAATACTACAATAGAAGAATAGTTCTTCAGGATAATCGTTAACTCTCTCTCTCTCTCTCTCTCTCTGTGTGTGTGTGTGTGTGTGTTTTAAAAGATGAGAATTATAGTTTCATACTATGAAATTGGATTTTAATCATGGCATGATAAATTAAATTGGGTTCCAAGGAAGGGTTCGTGAAATCAACTTCATCCTGAAATCCTTTCGTAGAGTTTCAGAATGAAGTTTTATGAAGTGGATCCTACGAAAAGGGTGAAGTGGCTTCTATGAAGTGAGAAAAGTGAATGGTTTCAGGATGAGTGAGATCTTATAAAGCCGTAGGAAGAAAACTATAAAACTTTGAAGAAAGTGTTTCGGGATGAATGAAATCTTTCTGAAACCTTTTAGGGTTTCAGGCATTACAAATGTGAAACCGTATCTTTCTCTGAATGCTGTAAAATACATATAAACAAGAATAAAATAAATAAAAATACAACCTTTCATCGCTTATCTAAAGAAACTTTAATTTAGTTCACTTTCTAATCGTGTTCATTCATTACACAAAGGACAAAGCTTGATGGCCTCTGCAAGTGACAAACGACCTTGATTAGTTTCTCTTTCAAAGCGAAAAATATATAATTTAAAATTACAAAATATAAATAGATTTAAATTGATTTTGTCAGTGGAAACAATTAATGTTTTACAGAGAATCGAAAAAAATGACATTGAAATTTAAGTATGCATGTCACCAGTGAACGTACTTTAATTATAATTATCAAAGTTGTTGACCTACAAAGTAGAGTTTCTTTCTCATTCTCTGGAGTAATTTGATCGAAATTAATATCTTTATTTATATTTAAACTGAATGTTATTGTTATTGTTACTTTTCTTAGAAGATAAGAATAATCCTTTGGAATTAAAAGTTGATGGATCTCAAATGTCAGTGATTGTTCTTCGTTTGAAGCCATATACAAAATATCAATTTCAAGTTGTTGCCGTCAATGAAGTAGGAAGTAGCAAACCGTCGAAAACTGTTGAAGCTATTACCACTGAAGAAGGTGATAATTAGTTTTTAGTTATTTTTAGCTCTAAAGTTAGTTTGATTATTTTTGCAAGCTTGATTTTATAAGTATAAAATAAATGTTAGGCTTTATAGAGTGAAAAAATTAATTATTAATACATTTAATAATATCTAACATGATTACTTTTATTTTTGCAGAACCTGCATCTCCTGCTTTTGATCTTCAAGTAAGTGATAAATCGACAGCTTCAGCTGTTTTAAGTTGGAAGGTAATTNTACATTTTCAAAATTATTTATTTTAAGTAAAGAATAATGCATATTATTTTAAAATTCTTATTGAAATAAGCAAACAAAGTATAGATATTCTCACCCTTATAGGAAAGTTCTTTTTGATGTAAAAAAATCCTCCTATGGATATCCCTATGGGAGTTTTGCCAAATCTTTTCATAAAATTCAACATCCCTACAAAGTAGAGTTTCTTTCTCATTCTCTGGAGTAATTTGATCGAAATTAATATCTTTATTTATATTTAAACAATCATAAAAATTATAATATAAACTTTGATTGTATCAAAAATTATTATTTATTTATATACGGGAATAAGTGTAATTTCTTATTTGTAATTGGCATGGGCCCAACTTAACTTTTCTTATACACTTATTTTTTATTTTAATTAAGGAAAGTATTCATATTTTTCATGTTGTTGAGATAAAAAGTAATCTTAACTTGTTGTTAAGAAAAGTAATATTAATGTATAGGGATAGGAACCATTAAGGGCTTGTAAAATATTCTTTGGGAACCACTAAGGACCTAAGTAAACTAAAGAATACTTAAGGGCCCTTAGGAGAAAGTGGAAAAATTTTTAACTACCCTTCTCAACTGCCCTGTCTGTACAAAAGTTAATCATAGAAAGGCTGCTTCGAGATTAATATGTGAAGTCTCGAACAATAGAAACTTTTTATACCTTTTATATCGTGAGTTTTATATTTAATGCAAATAGGTCAAAAATACTTTATATTTGATCTAAAAGGAGCAAGTTTAAAATTTTTTCTTCTTATATGCCACTTTAGTCACGCATACCAAACGCAAACCTCATTTGTTCCAGACCTTATACAATATCAAACATTGTCACTTTAATGTCGGATCCTATGTACAAGTCTGTGAAAGTTTACTTAAAACACATTTTTTTAGTGAACGTAGCAGTGTTTGAGTTAGTAAAATTATTCAATAATAGTAGTCGGTCACAGGTTCGACATGAACCAACGGGCTAAGTTTTCCTAGTGTACTGTACTGTACTTCACGTGTGTAACACCTAAATAGGAGACAACTTCTTAAAGAAAGTCCTATCCTAAAGGACTTTCTAAGAGGCATCTTTACAGGCGACTCTTTGTCAGATGCAAAGTGATGACCCTTTGCATCTGACAAAGGATGACCTGCAATGTGTATAAAGATGCCCCGTAGAAAGTTTGCATCTGAAAAAAAGTTGTCTGCTATGTGTTGCGTGGCATTATCCATCAAACCGGGAGATTTTCTTAGTTAATACTCAGGAAAAATATATAAATAAGTAGAACAATCAGTAAAAACACACATATCTCTAGAAAAATGTTTATTTTTGTACAAAATTTACATCGTGTCTGACGGTACTTTCAGCATCCTTTATATACAATACTTAGCAGAATTTACCAGTATTTGCCATAACCGTATCCGTGACCGAGTCCGTAACCACGGTATCCAAGACCATATCCGAGTCCGTATCCGCCGTATCCGAGACCATATCCACCATATCCGAGACCATATCCACCATATCCATATCCGAGTCCGTATCCATAACCTGGGTGACGGATGGATGAACTGTAGGCTACGGCACGTCCTACTGGGTATCCGTAACCACCGTAACCGTAACCACCGTAACCACCGTATCCGTAACCTCCGTAACCCAGATAACCGGCCAGGGAGGTAGCCACGAGGGCGAAGAGGACAGCAGCGATCTAGAAGTAGGAAAGTCACATTATTATATACCGTGTATTAATTAATCTATATATTAAGATATATATATATATATAAGAAGTGTTACTTACCATAGCCTTCATTGTTTAGGATTTATTGGTTTCTGTGTTCAGCAGATACTGGTCGTAACGTACAGAAAACGGCACTTTTATACGATCGTCGAAGGTCGTTGGGTTGTAGTCGATTAATGTATAACGAGTTTATTTGGAAAGTTTTTTGGATAAAAATGTCAAGGTTTACTCAAAATAACGTTAGAGCTTTTCTATCGCTGCTATAATCAGTATTAAAATCCATTCACAAAGGGACGTACGACCTCGCTTTTGCGAACATTACGGGGCGTTCAATGTTGACCGGTATATAAAAATAATTTCGGAATTTTTAGGCAATTTTTTTATATTAAATTCTAAAATAACTGTTTTATTTATGTTTTAAAAGGTGTTTTAGTGAGGAAAAAAATTCTGAACGAAACTTTGATAAAATGTAATGTCCACACTCCACGAAACACAGGGTATGGCGATTAAGTCAATGCCTCTAATATAGAAACCTCACCTCACACACATCACTAGCCCCCGAGATTTTTACATTTTCAAACTCAGGGGACCTCAAAACGTGGAGAAATGCAAACAATTTGGGTGTTTTCTTATGTTTATGAATGTTACAATTTAATGCGTGTGGGTAGAGAGAGTTGACTTTGTTTATTCACTTTGAAGCTTAATAACTTCTGTGTTTTTTGTCGAAAATTTATGAAATTTTGCATGAAGATGTTCTTATCTTGTATATTAATGCTAGTAAATTTTGGTAACGAAAGGTCAAGTGGTTGGGAAGATAGACGGGATCATGTATGGTATCTCTAATACTAACGGCCTTAATAAAGTCTAGCACATTTAAAATTTTTTAAAATATAAAACTCATCTCTACCCTTAAAATTAAATTTTTTGCCATTTTATAATAATTAATATTATAAAAACTTTTAAAAATAAAATCTCATAACAGATGGCTCCGCAAACAATTTTTAACTGTTGCAGGGAAAGTCATACAACTCGTTGTTAGATCTTTTATATTCTAATCAATTCAAATGTCCGGGAAAATGTCCGGATTTTAATTAAAAGTAAAATTCTTTCAAGAAATGTTATAAATTAAGGTATAAAAGCATTTAATTTTCGGATTTTATTCGGTAAAATATACCTGAAAATCTACTTAATTTCTCTAACATATAGAAATTCAATCCGTTTCTAATTTAGGCAGGTTTCCGTTTTATTAAAGTTCCGTTTCAGACAGGTTTTACTGTAAATAGTTTTCTTTATAAATTCATTTATTTTAAATTAATATTAAAATAATTATTCGGGTGTTTTTTTGAAGGAAATATTAGAGAAAATTAGCAAAAAAAAATGAGAGTTTTATAACGATTTTTATTAATTAAATCGAAAAAGGTTTATTTGTAACACTAATTTATGTTTAATTCTTATTTTTCTTAAAATATTTAATAAAATTTACTAACGAATAATTAAAATAATTAAAAATTAATTTAATGAAATTTTAAATCCAAATTTGAAATGCAATTCGTGCTGAAGTTATGACTTATTTAATTCATTTGTATTAAGAATTTTTATATTATTTACTGCCCTTTTATCACATTACATCCATAAAATTGTAATTAAATTGTAAATTGTAATTAACTCGCTCGTTTCGGGACTTAAAAATATCAATTTTGATGCCTTTTTCTCATATGCTAATTGTATTTTCTATGATTTCATTATAAAGGGACTGGAATTTTTCGGGTTTTCTTCACCAGTTAAATAGGGACAGCTTACCATAAAAGACTTTCTCGGAGGCATTCCCTTTTTGGTAGATTGCCATATACAAATAAAACCAAACTAAACCCTCCTACAGTACAGTGGTAACAATAGCGTGCCTACAGTAACGTGCAGCATACAGCATGCAAAATGTACAGTACATTAATGCCTGAAACGTTCAGACAGCGTATAACTTATCGAAAACATTCGATAATTTGGCACTATTCTACTGTATTTATAAACTTTTGTGCTCCTGTATTTGGCAACAAACCGATGTGCCTCAAACGATATAACAATTAATAATTTTACTAAGTCTAAACAAATTTATCCACTATTTATTTAAGCATAATTATGTTTAATATTAAATGAATTAACAATGAAAAAAAAAACAGTGTATACAATCAGTATTAAAATACAAGGTAACCTCGATACCTCCGTATAACGTCAAGAAACACGTGTATGCCCCGATTCAATCAATACCTTTAAAATTCAAACTAAAGCATACACCTCATTTATTATATACAATATTCGTTATTTTGAGGTGCCTCACTTTAACGCTGTATTCGATTTTGCGCCATTTTAAAAAGCCACGGGTATTCTAAATCGAATTAAAAGTTAAATTTATAATTGAACGGCTTACAACTTGGTTTTTTTTAGTAAATCAAGTCTAGTTTTGATATCCGTCAGTACGTCCGTCCTTGAAAGGTTGATACCGACTGTAACAGACGTTATAGAAATGTAAATTTAATTAAATTCTTATCAATTAAATCTATAAAATACCTATAAATTATAATGATTAATTTAAATAAATAAATTCTATACTAAAAATGCTAATTAAATTCTATGTTTTAAGAATAAATTATACAAAAAGTGGCCCAAAAATAAGTTATCCGTTTTGCCGTTCATATTCACAACACGGTTAACTTACTTTTGGGCTACCATGTAGTTAAACCTTATACATTCATTATAAATAATTCGAAAATTTTGATGATTAACTTTTAAATACATAAGCTTAATAAGTATATTAATGTACGGTGTGGTCGTAATTTACGTACTGTACCCGTGTTTAATGCAGTCTAAGTGTAGTTAAATTCGGTATGGTAACATTTCCAAAATAGAAATTAGTGTAAAAACTCGCCACTAGGGCATTTTTGGCGCTGCAAGAAATAAATGTTTTACTTGTAATAGACACTTTTGCTATACTGTAGGGTTTGTAGGATGTAGGTTTAATTATTTATGCGATAAGGTGAAGCAAATTAGCAATGAAGATGCTTTCCAAGAGGACCTTCTATGGAAAAATGGTTCCCCTATTCAGTTGGTAAACATGTAAAGAGAACTTGGTAAACTCCACGTGTCCTGCTTGTTGATCAGGCACGAACCCGCGACCTACAATCAGTGTTCGGTATTTTTATCCACTGCTCCAATGTGGTTACCATTCTGACGTAATTGATTCTCTTTGACTCTTCTCACGTGCAGTGTGATACATACTGCCCTTCAAGGCTATCAGATTTGCCACCTGTTTTCTACAATCCGCACTTTATAACTTCTCCCACAATCAAAAACCCCACTGTTCAATATTTAAAGCGCCAAAAATGCCATAACGGTGACTTTTAGTACTATTTTTTTAAAGGAATAATCAATTATAATTGTGTTTAAACTACTAAATATCTATCTAAAAAGCGTTAAATAGGGGTACTTTAACATGATACAGATATACGAATCATCCTCTTTAACTATTCTTAATATTTCTAAATACAAAGTTATTAAATTAATTTAAATCACGTCTACTGATTAAAATTTATTTTAATTACAATTATTACAGGGGGAAAAAATTAAATTTATTAAAACAACGAGTCCATACGAGGGTCTAGTGTAAGGCTCATAGTTCTATAAAGAAGTAATTGTATTTCTTCTTCATAGGACTATGAGCCTTATAAAGGTGTAATTAATTAATTTAACATTAGGAATTAATCATTTATTCGATTAAATTAATACGTAAAAAATTAATTTATTATTATTTAAGTTTAATTATTTATTGTAATTTCAAATATTACCCATAATATAATAATATCCATATAAAAATATATAGATAAATAAATGTTAAAGGGTGCTCTTTTAGTGCCATCTAGTGACACAATTTAAAACTTTATTTACCGTAAATTATATTTTATATTTAATTTTTCTTCTGGAATTTCTTTCTATGGAAGAAACTGTGTTAATCTTTTCTAATTTATACAAAGAATACATTGTAATGTAATAATATGTTTTATTTTTTAAGGACACTTGCAATCTTATGAACAGTATACAAAAACGTGCCTCAAATCTCATATTTATTATTGATTACACTTAGTAAAATCTAATTTGCATAATATCAATAACTAAATATCAATTACTGAATGGTAACACCTAAATAAGATAGATTTCTTCGGGTAACAGCTAAATAAAAGACATTTTCCCATAGATAGATAAGGTAGAAAAACACAAACAATGAAATAACTTGAATAAATACAAGATGTATTCAACATTAAAAATATTTCAAATTTTATAATAGACCATAAATGATAGCATTTTTACCTTAATTACGAGTTATTTACTAAAAATTTCGCTGCAGTACTTTCTGTACATATACACTGAATTGTCTATATCAGTTAACCAAGCTAATACTACATTAATTTCAATTTGTTTGGAAACGTGTTTCGCTAAATAAACTGGTAGGAAATATAATAAATATCAGCAAAAATATTCCTAAATGTTTGATCAACTGTCAATGTTCTTTACATGCAAAAACGTGTTCTTAACGTTTTTTTTAGGTTTTTATATCGCTCTTAATACACTCTAATCACACACTGCATCGCTTCCAGATTTGAGCAAGAGCTTGTGTAGCATAATTAGCATATAGCAGCGTATGTACAGGGATACAATAGCATGCATGTAGCAGAATGAACACAATATACTGCTTATACAATATATTGCATGCCTATATGCAGTATATTGTATAAGCAATACATCTTTACGTTCAATATCCCTATACCACATGACTTTTCGAAATCGGTTTGATTCCAAAAGTATATGCACCACAAGAGATCAAAACTTCAAAGATATATCAGAGTGCATTTTGTAATCGCCGTTATTTACAAGTTTCTCTTCAAGTGTCTATTCTCGATTGACATTGAAATCTCTTTGCTATTTCTTAATTATTTGTCAATGTAAATTTCAGTTTATATTCACGAGTATTTTAACCACGTCGTAAAGAAACGTCCATCTCTTCTTCGTGTAACGAGTGTCTTTAA